GAGTGGCCGCTTTAGAGAGGAAGATAGACATACTTACAGGACAACTGACGGCTTTGCAGTTAAGCCGACGGTCACTGAAGTTCTGCAGAAGCAGATCCCGTAGTCGTGATGGGACCACGAGTAGAATTGCGTCTAAAAGTAGCACGTGCTGGCACCACAAGAAGTTTGGCGGTAAAGCACGTCGTTGTTTGTTACCATGCGATTTGAAAACCTTTTCGTCGGGAAACGGAAAGGCCGGCGATCAGTGATGACTGCTGTCGCCGGCGTACAACAACACAGTCGTTTGTTTCGAGTGACGGATAGGAAGACTGGAGCTCAGTTTCTGGTTGACACTGGAGTGGAAGTGAGCGTAATCCCACCCACGCCGTCCGAAAAACGCCATCCCAACCCAACCTTGGTACTACAAGCGGCAAATAGATCTGCTATTACTACATATGGGACCAGAATTTTGATCCTAGACATTGGCTTTCATACACCATTCCAGTGGGAAATCGTCATAGCTGACATATTGTCGCCTATCATTGGCATGGATTTCCTTCAACATTACTAGCTATTGGTCGACTCTAGTCGCCATAGACTAGTCAGCTGTAATGGTGAATTTTCTATCACCGGTATCGTTGCGGAGACAAAAACAATAAACTTAGTCGTAGCTCCAATAAACAACACTTCCGAGTACGATATCCTTCTGTGAGAATTTCCCGAGCTCACTCAAACGGATTACACGAAGTCCTCTCTAAAATACAAGGTAACGCACCATATTCTTACAAAAGGTCCTCCAACCTCATCAAAACCTCGACGCTTAGACCCTAAAAAGCTGCAGATAGCAAAACAGGAATTTGATAAACTTCTAAAGTTGGGAGTTATACGCCCTTCCAAGAGCCCATGGTCATCACCCCTGCATATGGTACCTAAAAAAGCATCAGGGGAAATACGGCCTTGCGGTGATTATCGAGCGTTGAATAAGCGTACGGTCCCTGATAAGTATCCAATTCCTCACATACATGATTTTATGAACTCTATGACAAAAGTAAATATTTTTTCCAAGATTGACCTCGTGCGAGCTTACTATCACATTCCTGTGGAACCCAATGATCTTCCTAAGACGGCCATCACTACCCCTTCGGACTATTCGAATTTATTCGTATGCCGTTTGGTTTGACAAATGCTGCTCAAACATTCCAAAGATTTATAGATCAGGTACTCCATGGCTTACCTTTCGTCAGTGCATACATAGATGACTTAATAGTAGCTAGCGCATCTGAAACAGAGCACCTGCAACATCTGAGGACGCTTTTCGAACGACTGCGTGAATATGGCATTACAATCAATCCGCAGAAATGCGAATTTGGCAAGGAATCCCTACAGTTTTTGGGTCACATTGTTAATGCCAACGGTGTTAAACCGGTTCCGCAAGAAGTAGATGCAATTCGAGAATATCCTGTTCCAGACTCGTTTCGAAAGCTGCGAAGATTTCTGGGGTTAATAAACTTCTATCGACGTTTCATACCTAAATGTGCTGAAGTAGCCCAACCGCTGACAGATTTATTGCAAGGACGAGCCAAAGTGTTTCACATGACCCAAGCGGCCCATGATGCTTTTGACAAACTGAAGCTGGCTCTAAGTTCTGAAACTCTTCTCTCTCGTCGTGATTCAGAAGCACCACTAGCAATCATGACAGACGCTTCAAATGTTGCGGTAGGCGCAGTACTACAACAGTTTGTTCACGGTCAGTGGGAACCATTATCTTTCTTCTCGAAACGACTTAATGCTTCTCAATCGCGATACAGTACATTCGGCAGAGAGCTACTGGCGATTTACTTGGCTATCAAGCACTTCAGATATATGCTCGAAGGGTACTCATTTATAGTATTCACCGACCATAAGCCACTCACAAAAGCAATTGATGCAAAGCATGACAACTACTCGCCCCGAGAAATTCGACATTTAGAATTTATTTCACAATTCACTTCAGATATAAGGTATATCAAAGGCAGCAAAAATGAGGCAGCTGATGCTTTGTCTCGTATGTACGTAAACGTCTTAGAACGTGACCATATTGACCTAGCAGAAATGGCAAAGTTGCAGGTGACGGATGAGGACTTGAAACATTTGAAAAACAATGCGAACACCTCATTACGTCTTGAAGAAGTGACACTTGATGACTCTGTATCCATCAACGCTTAGATGAGTTGTTACGTGTCATCAAGCTGGGGAACAACCTACTTGCTAGTACGCATACGAGAAGTTACTGACCAAAGGACCTTCGATGTTGATCTTTTTCGTGAACTGTTCAACCTGAGCGGTCGACCCCAGCTACTGTGTTCATGTCAGTCAGTGATCATCCCCTCCGTGTAAAAGTGTTGCAGGAAGCAACCTTATTGGATATTAGTTAGGCGTTGCCGAATGTTATTTCCTATACGTTAGTTTGTAATGTTTATTGTGTTGGTCTCAAAGGAGCTAGGCATTGTTCGCTAGAATTAGCATTACATAATTTTTCATGCTGGGCATCTGTACAACGTTATGTTCTATTTTTCGTTGTAGTTTATTTGTGGTGATGTTTCGCGTAATGTTCATTTAGTTTGACTCTGTAGATGCTTAGGAGAGTTTATCTGTAGTAATTCAGTGAATAACTGAATTGAGTGTTTTGTATCAGTAGGCTTTGTAGTAATGAAGTATTTCCTGCAGGAGTGTGAATTGCATGCGTCATTTTTGATTTGTCTCGGTTCCATGTTCACTTCCGTGAATCAGGGTTTCTCCCCGACTTGATTATAGATGTGCTTTTGAAAATCAGTATACTATTCATAGGTTGACCTATTAAATGAACTTAGATGACTGTCTTTTTAGTTTTACACTCACAAGATTCAGTTACACTGTCACAATACAACAAACAGTACGTCAATATACTTTGAGGAAACAAGAGGTGAATCTCAACGGATTACAAAAAGAACGCCAACATTGTGCTCCTCACTTCTTTTATGTTAACCAAAGGTGAATTCACTGATATGAAGTTGACATAAACATGAAAAATGAATAATATATATATATATATATATATATAATGATCAGTTTTTGTCTTTTTGAGCATCTACATAACCTACATTTTCAGCGTGTAATCACCAAGTAGGTCACTGAAGTTATTCACCAATAGGATGGAATCAATATTTACAGTGGGCTCGGTTTGTTCAAATACTTTTGTTGGTCTGTTCACCAGCATCAATCTATCTGGAGAGTAGAGGTTGGCTTTGAATATTACTTCAATATTAGCACATAAATGTTCTTAGTTGGATAAAGGCAATCGACTAGGAAACCATAATACCTAAGTTTTGTGCTTGTTGAAACTTGTCAGCAAGGCCTGTCTGCGGCCTTGACGGACTGATATCCCACCTGAGATTCAAACCTGTCGACTGCCTCCAACCAACTAAAATCTATCAAAGTGTATTGCGATGTTAAGTCAAATAGCTTGGTGGTCACATCGCTAGATGATCGATGGAATTCTATCAGCACTTAGGATTAGACAACATGAGGTTAGTTGCTCTCCAGTGACCAATCAATCTATACAAATGCTTTATTCATAGAAAACATTTGCATCTTTTGTAGCTGTGCCAAAATCAACAAACTCCAAGTTGATGTTGCCAAACATATCACGTAGGAAAATCTTTCTAGTACATGCTTTTAATGTATACATAAATATAAAGGGTTTTATGCACTAAAAGATAACACATATCAATGAGGTAACTATCGCTCCTTTTTCTCTCCCCAGTGTTAAAACTTCACGGGTTCGAACCCCACTCCACCTATCGAGGTTCGGGTGCCCAAGTAGTATTGCTAGCCCTCACCCAATAGGTGTGCTTCATTGCCTACTGAACAGATGTGCACAAGGTGGCTGACTGTGTTTTATTCAAGGGTTAAAACCTCCATTTCCAGTTATATATCAGCAACACATACACGGCAAATCTTCAACACTTAATGATGACAAGAGCGAATTTAATGCTATATTACAAAAGTTCAATAAATAAAATTTAATTAATCAGGTTCATTTTCAGCATGATATTCATTTATTTCTCCTCACCCTGTATATACGTTGATTTTTCACCTAATCGGGAATAACGGCGTTGATGGTTTTCCAGTCTTGAGCAAAAACATCATTCGCATAAATAACCTACTAGTCACTTCGCGGTACTATGTGTTCACTTAATGATCGCACAGCTTCTACACTAACTAGTAGTATAGAGTTATTAACTGGTAGAGTGAATAACGCGACTCACCACTTATGTGCCACGCTCTAATCATAATGCATGACGGCCGATGAAGACGAAAGAGGATCTGGATCTTTGGCGTAAGGTAATTGATGAGGCGAATGAGGCAAAACTCTATGTCGGATTGTATACAAAGTAACAATAACACAACACCGAACTGTTATGCAATGCAAAAATCAACCCATAAGCAAGACGCAACCAATAGGTCAGATAAAGTAGCCGGAGGAGAAAGTGATATACACTTAAAAAAATAAAAGGTGTATTTTATGTGGATTTCAACTGGTTTCAATTCGAAAAGAGAGAATAAAAGTATAAAAAAACGCTTACCATGTAGTATTGAACATGGAACGACAGAAATTTATTAGCATCCCCTGTCACGTGCATGCAGACAGACAACTTTAAGGCTAAATCAAGTCTACTTATTATTGGAAACTTATTCACAGAACGATGCGAAGAAAATAGATGGAATAATTGAGGGAAATCAATGATAACTATGCAAAAATGGCAAAGGAAATATATAACAATAGGCATAATGATATATATATATATATATATATATATATATATATATATATATATATATATATATATCACTTTCGTTGACTTCCAAACAAACCTCTATGTAAAGTAAATGTGTGTGAGCGCGTTTTGCATTTTTCTTTCCACAAAAACCATATAAATGTACATATGATGCATATACTATGATTACTCTGTTCTAGATCATTTAAAACTCATGACTGACATTCATGTGGTTTTCGGCGTGGATGTTGATGTCGATATAGTAGTAGAAGTAGTTATTGCTGTCAACGGTTTTTGAAACAGACCATAAACACAATCATAATTATAAGAAAGCATTGAAGATGGATTACGAGTATAGCCGCATTGGATGCCAGTTTTCTCTCGCTAGAAATCACAGCAACAAAAGAAAAGATACAAACAAAGAATTAATAGTGGTAAATAGTATTTTACTAGTAATGAAACAGAAAAAGTCGCTGAACGTCTCCTCTAGTGGTTCGGTCTCATTGATATAAGCATTTAGATATCTAGGTCCTGAAGTTGATTAGTAGCATGACATCCCTCACACATCCAGTACGGTTCATAGCCTAGTACGTAATCGTCTACTGTGCTTCTGAGTTGGATGGACATTCTTGACATTATCTTGACACATCCTAACTCTCTACACATTAGGACCGAGAACCTTAACGCCGCTTGAAAAGCATTGATTCAGAGACAGTGAGAATGTAAAAAGGAAGGAAATCGTCAGAGGTGAGCAACTGTCTTCACATTTCAAGGGACCTATTGAGTTAATGAAGTAATACTTTGAAAATATGCAGATGTAATTGTAATACGACAAGGTTTCAAACTACTCAATGTGTCATCGGATTACGAATAAAATAATGATAGTTAGCTAACAAGTGGGCTAGTTTGTTGTTCGCTCAAATTAGAAGTTAAGGAGCAGCTAAGACAGTAATCATATAAATTAGACAACAGCTAGCACAACTGCACTGCTCAGTTAGTAGATACCAACATCAGACCTAGTAATACTGCGTAACGACGGTCCAAATTGCCACATCTCATATCAGCCCAACAAGGGAGAATGCACGAAGATTGAAGACAAAAAAATAATAAAGAAAACAGACAAAAACGAAAGAAAGTCGTGATAAAATAACAAGAAGGAATGAGACAATAATGAAGTTCGGTGCGATGGATATGATGGAGATAATATATGGATACATCTGCCCAGTGAGATACATTTTGAGTTATATCACGCAGAGCCTCCAATCACTGATTTCGGTTGCCATGTAGATCCCAACCGGGAAATTTACACTTCTCTACAAGGCTGAGAACTAACGGTTAACGATTTCACAAACTGATGCCGTTTTCGTCTGGCTGTTTTAAGCTTTGTCCAGCCTGAAACCGCCTCAGCAAACACTGTGCGACGCGGCAAACAGACGCATAACACAGGTCCTAGCAACCGCATCGACTGACTTGCCTGTTTTGCCCGAAACACTACGCCTGACTTCCACGTTATTCATGTGGTGGTACCACGACACACTGCCTATGATACAAAGGCAACGGTGGTCGAATATCTAAAGCTTTCTCATATCTTCCTACCTCTAATGGCCATGTTTCACAGTCATATAGTAGAACAAAGCGAACTGCACCACAGTACACACGACTCTTAATCGACAATCAGATACTACAGCCGCGCCATAAGTGAAGTAGGTTGATATCCGTGCAGAGATTTCTTTGATCACTGATGCATCATGACTGATACAACTTAATATCAGTCCCGGAGTAGAAATTTGCATCTCGGTGGTGACAAACGCATCCCAAACATTCTCAAACTGCTAATCAAGGTGTCCGGAAGACTGTGGCTACACTATGGTTATCACGAGAGGATTTTTTACTTTTCTGTGACAATTAGTGATTGGGACCAGTAAGAAGGGATTATATCTGGTTCCCATACGCTATTTAACACTTGATAAATACTGTCAATAATTCTCAACCACAGTCTTTAAATACCTCTGGTACAAGAGCCAATCAAGGTCTGTTGCAGTTCTTTTCTTCAGGAGACTCACAGATTCAATTGACTTACTCACCAGCGCATTGGAACCACTTTCCATGATAATCGCATCCGAACGTTTGGCAGTTTTCGGTATGGCTTATCACTCTCTTCATTCGAACTGCAGCTAGTGGCTGCGTCAGGAGAGGTTACAAAGAGATGACAATAAATTTCACTACTGCTTTTAGTCCTCACTGCACCGTTCAGTGGAGCAATGTGCACAGGTGAGTGTTAAGTCGGATCCAGTAGAACAATGAACTTTCTAGTCTACAAACTTAATACGACATAAACGCAATCGCAAGACCGCGAGAACTAGCCCTTGAATTTCCAGAAACTCGAAGGATGAGGTTTGCGTTCTTAGCATATTAGTTGTGTGAGGTTCAGTGAATAATCGCACTGTATGCGTATCTCAAAAACACAGCACATGCCTATGGCCCGAGGGACTAAAGTTTTAACTAGCGAAGCCTGATGACCGACTTCACCGCGGATAAACCCGTTGACAACTCCAATGAGTAGTTTGGAGTGCGCTTTTAGGAGACTAAGGATGGTGTTTTGTGAATCGTCATCGTGGGCTGAAGAGACATTAAACATAACATGGGAATATTAACTGAGAGATGTGAGGAAGAATTAGAAGGCAAAGATTAATATGGTTGGTAACGGTTGAAAGGAAATTGAGTGCTGACACTTTTTAGTTGCCCATACAGTGGAACGTTACATTTCCTTGAGGTACCTGAAGAAAAGAAATTGTTATAGTATTATTGGTGCTTGTAAGATTTGATACTTCTGTCAGTACCGATGGTAATTTTCCAATTAGCAATCTCCGTTGCACCGTTGAACTACCCTTTATGCAACCGTCACACTGTTTTAATCATACAGTATCTTTCGAAGGGAAACATATTATTTTTCCTGGTCAACACATCATACCGCATCTACTTTTAACACCAGGATATGGATATCTCAAGGAAATTAATTGCCCGAGCATAGAATGTCAGTGATAGATATTCCGGTAATCACAATACAAAGAAGTGAGAGTGATAGGCTCTTGAAACTGGTTGATAGGGGGGGGGGGGGAAGCATCCCATTAGCATCCGCCACCGTTAGATTACTATCATTTATTAAGGATAAAAAAGCTTATGGGATGCTGACAGGCATATTCATATGGCAGTGATGATGATTACAATGAAGTTAAATCACATGATCCGAGTTAACATGTCTTATTTGTTGTCATAACACCATTGAAAATTAAACGGAGCCACGGTTCTTTAGTTTGGAGAGATGACTTTCACCCGATGGGTCATGTGTTCGAACGCCCCTTCACCTACCAAGGTTTGAGGAGCCGAGTAGTGTTATTAAACCTCATACAACAGACGTGGCTTACTGCCTACTGCAAGAATGTTCACATGGTGGCTGAGTGCATTTCGATTCGATCTCGACTGAAAACTAAGGAGTGGTTCAGTGATTGACTTCAAGACGAATTTCTCAAAATTCTGATGAGAAATTTATAACATGCCAGGTAAATCAAATTAAAGATGCTATGCAAATTGGCTTAAACTCTTGACATCCAAGCAATGAATTCTGAATTCATAACTGGTTCCACCTACTGCAACTTGCACAACTGGGAAGCATTAAAAAAAAGTGTCACACAAACTAGTCAATAGACCTGCGCTAAGATGTTGAAGTGTATCACAGTATTACTGCATAACCAAGTCGAAAGTGTAGCGTTACAACACGAATTAACCAAAGTTTTAAAATATGAATCATTGGATTCTAGCCCAGTGGTTGATTCGCTCGCAGTGATCTCCATGCAGAATAGGGTTTATAAGTGAGAACCGTTGAAGAATCTTAAATTAGTACTGAGTAACCATTTAGGACTCTTAGTCTTCAATGATTTTGTAGCTGGTGTCAGCTCGTATCGTTAAAATCACAGAAGACTAATCGTACATTATTTGAAGAAGGCTAGAAAAGTAGGTGTTATTACAACAATCATTTGTTGTGCATAACACAATTATTCAATGCTCAGAATTTGAGGAGGTTGAAAAGGATGCATTGAAGATGATGGTTTCTGCGTCTTAGAACAATCTACCCACAGAGAATAGATTTCACAACCGCTGCGTTTGAATCGGAAATACATCTGAGATAAACTTGGTTCAACTATTGACCAGTTTAGTTTATAGGCAATATTACTTATACCAACAGGAAATTGTAAGTATCAAATGACAGATAATACCCCCACTGCGTAAGCGGTGGCTCTTGTTTCCCAGTGGAAACACCACCACTCACTGGGGTGCAGCTGCATCCGGCTGACGAGTCCCAGATGCGACGAAACGTGTGGCCTGGATCCCTCTGCTCGTCACCAAGATGGATACAACATCAGCATCAACGTATCCACATAGGAGCTCATCTTCCAACAGAGATCGAACAATTCAACTTTGTGTAGCAACGGGAAACTAAAAGTATTAAATGATTAGTTCATACCACTTGTTTGTATGCACACTGACTTATTCAATATCTCATATTCATACAAACTGAAAGAGTAGTTCAGAAAATACACCTACAAATTATATCTACTATGTAACGGGTAGTAACACTAACTGGATGCTCAAATACCGATAGAAATCCGAATAAAACCCACGATACACTGAGTGAAAATTGTATACCTATTTCAGTCAGCCACCTCTGCATATGAGCTATAAGATTACGATGGAAATCCTCCATCTTTATCGCTAAAAAATAAGTAGTTTGTGCAGTCAACTTACAAACAGTCCGGTTAGAGAACTAGACCCTGCTTAAATTACCCATTTTCTGATAGCCAGTCTTCATACGATAGGTGTGACCCATCGACTATTACAAAAACCTAGACATGGTTGTTGAATTATAATAATATTACTAAAGTTTTTGCTAGTAAGTAAGTATAATTTGAACATGAATTTTGCATAGAATGGTAACTACAACTCACTAAAACTTTAAAGCCTAAGCGTTCAATTGCAAGACGTAGTTCAGCATAACTTAACTCCAAGGATTCTTCACCAGGTATATCAGAGAAATGATATAATAGTGGACCTGAAGATGAGAAAAACAAAATAAAAGAATAGGTATAAGTGAATATATGAATATATATGATTCGAGGCTATCTTACACTGGCTAGTTGAATATGTCTGTGTTTTATTCATTGCTATTCGTCATTGACCTTTTCATTATATTCTAGTTAACTGATGAAATATACCCATTCATTGATGAATATGAACAAGATGTGTATCAGCGAAGTAATATTTCTTTTCAACGACTTCATTATCAAGCTGTACAGTCGTATTTATAATCGGTAAAAAGACAGATAATTGCACTAAAAAGAGTTGCTCAGTCAATATATAATAGGTGTTGATGGTGGGAATTTGTTCGAGTGAAAAAAAGTAGAAAATGAGTCACTGAATAAGGGAAGAATTGATAACAAGTGGTGAGATAAGGGGTAAGTGTTGGCAAAGAATTGTAAAACGATGATAATCAAAGAGAAGTATACCAAAGTGAAGTGAAATTGACAAAATAGTTGAGAATGAATTGTTAAAGCCAAGGTAGAGAAAGTGGTTTCACAAAACGTTTTTGAATGCAAATCTTCCGTTTTTGTTCGCGTATAGCTAATGCTTCAGCTATGCATAAATGGTGGAAACTTAGACCTTCGGAGTAGATCAATTTGTGAATTACCTTAAAGGATGAATATCGAGGAGCTGAATGACCTAACTCTACTAGGTGTTCATATATAGATGAGATTTTCTTCACCCTCCTTTGGTAAGTCAAACCGGGGAATATTCAGTGACACGTTTTCGGAGGGCCCGCTTGCAACGCCCAATATAGTTAGCTCCATAGGACCATATGAATTTGTAGATACACATAGATGTGGACATAAATGATAGCCTATCCTTCACGAATTGTCGAATCAGACAACTGCTAGAGAAAATCAATCTCAGTCTAGCAGCATAAAAGGTACTATTGATACACTTTGACAAACAGTTTTCCAGCACTTCAGCTGTGATGTCTCCTTTGAATTCCAGATTCATGATTAAAATTCTTTTATGGAACTGTAGTGGGATGAGAGGTGATTTGTTTTTTTTTAAGGTTTTTATCAATAAATCTTTGAGCGTATCTCTTATTCGATAGTGTTGTACCAAGAGTTTCAATTTCAACATCCACTATGTCTTCTGAACAGATTTTGACCAATATTTCACTATTTAGTATCAATTCATTCTTTATTCAATGACCCACTACTTTGAATGCTTCAATTAAATTATCATCGTTTTACAATTCTTTGCCAACACTTACCCCTTATCTCACCACTTGTTATCAGTTCGTCCCTTATTCAGTGACTCATTTTCTACTTTTTTTCACTCGAACAAATTCCCACCATCAACACCTATTATATATTGACTGAGCAACTCTTTTTAGTGCAATTATCTGTCTTTTTACCGATTATAAATACGACTGTACAGCTTGATAATGAAGTCGTTGAAAAGAAATACTACTTCGCTGATACATATCTTGTTCATATTCTAGTTAGTTTGGTGGTAGCCCTTCTTATATGAGGAAGTACATAACCTGTGATAAAGAAAAAAGTTTTAATCATTTATATGCGTGAAATTGCAAGTTTTGGATAAGGTGGAACTACGAAATTCGACGTAATACTAGGGTTAATACATTGTTCCATACAGATCTTAAAGGTATTAATTGACAACAGATGTCCCATTGGAGTGCACAGTCGTATTGTTTTGATACAAATAAACTTGGAGGAGGCTTAAGTTATGTTATTTGTATTCATCCAGTAATGATGGCTTTCAGGGAATGTAGAAATTAAGGTTAGTTAAAACATTCAAGCTTGAAATGACATCGAAAAGTGGATGCATCTGCACCATTGAGGCTGATTTTTAGTCATATCATCAAGGGTCTCCAAACATCGATTTCTATCATATCGAGCTCAGTCTACACCTTAAGTGACCCAGACTAAGACTAAAAGATTTCATGCACTGGTACCACGTCATGATCTGACCACCCTCAGTCTTTCTTCCTTTTACTTAATAGCACTTCGAGGTAGGTGGTCACTCAGCATGTTTAACACATTCTCTTTGAAATTAGTAGTGATCACTAATTCCGTTGTATGTATGTATGTATGTATGTATGTATGTATGTATGTGTGTATGTATGTATGTATGTATGTATGTATGTATGTATGTATGTATGTATGTATGTATGTATGTATGTATGTGTGTATGTATGTATGTATGTATGTATGTATGTATGTATGTATGTATGTATGTATGTATGTATGTATGTATGTATGTATGTATGTATGTATGTATGTATGTATGTATGTATGTATGTATGTATGTATGTATGTATGTATGTATGTATGTATGTATGTATGTATGTATGTATGTATGTATGTATGTATGTATGTATGTATGTATGTATGTATGTATGTATGTATGTATGTATGTATGTATGTATGTATGTATGTATGTATGTATGTATGTATGTATGTATGTATGTATGTATGTATGTATGTATGTATGTATGTATGTATGTATGTATGTATGTATGTATGTATGTATGTATGTATGTATGTATGTATGTATGTATGTATGTATGTATGTATGTATGTATGTATGTATGTATGTATGTATGTATGTATGTATGTATGTATGTATGTATGTATGTATGTATGTATGTATGTATGTATGTATGTATGTATGTATGTATGTATGTATGTATGTATGTATGTATGTATGTATGTATGTATGTATGTATGTATGTATGTATGTATGTATGTATGTATGTATGTATGTATGTATGTATGTATGTATGTATGTATGTATGTATGTATGTATGTATGTATGTATATATGTATGAAAGCATGGCAGGTAATACTCCTCAACAAATAAACAACTGTCATGGGTGTAGATATCTGCTATTGAGAAACGGAAACGTGAAAAGACAGTCAATTATGCTTACCAAAATTAATCCAATAACCACCAGGTTTAAGTATACACCAAATTGTATTCAAATAATCAAGAATATTATGTGCTGTATCAATGAAGAAAACAGTGGCTATACAATCCCAGGTATCTAAGAGTAAATTAAGAAAAAAAAGAAAGAAATTAGCACTTAAACACTAACGTCTTTGTTCAGATTATTACTGTTCATAAGTAATCTTCTGAGTCAGCAAGTGACACACATACTGATACAAAAATGGTTCGTTTAACATATGTCGCCTTACACCACTCATGAAACTAGTGTGAGACATTCGAATGTCAGCCAAAGAACCAGAATACTGAACAACAGTCCCGTCTGCTTTATTATTACGGTTATTCTTCATCTCTTTATGCTTCTCATCTTTCATATACTTGTGTCTACTCTTATGTCATTCGTTTTTGATCCACTTCTTTTATTTGTACGCTGTTGTAGAAGAGTGTGACAAGTTGAACTGATGCATTTTTGTGTCAGGTTTTACGCTGATTTGTCTGTTTGACAAAGTCATCAGAGTTACTAGGGGAGATAGCCATGGTTTGAGTGACTGCTGTTGATAGTGAGTGCTGACTGAAGGTAAAATGAAAATCTAGGTCGCGGCAGAATTCTCATCAACAGCTTCCGGATTACCGGTCCAATGTTCTGCTAACTGAGCTACAAGACCCAGCTACTGACCAGTCTATCTCTCACAAAATCAATGTGATGCTTTTCCTCTCCAATTCAGTTTGATTTGGATGAGAGGACCTGGCTGAGAAGCCACCCGTTGTGAATACGATGAAGGGACAGTAACGCGTAACTGGTTTCGATTCTGTGCCACTGAGTTATGTAGTCTCTCAAACCCCGCCCACAGAGTCGTGATGCATCAAGGTATGCTAACCTGATACAACTATTGTTTATTGCACGATGCCAGGTCATACACTGACGTGGACGGCGAATACGTGATCAATAACATACATAAGGTAGACGAAACCCGGCCTGCTCCTCGCAGATCAGATTCTCACGCGTTTTGCACAACCTGTGAAGTATGATAGCAGCCAACACCTTAGACGCAGACTCATACCCTGGTGATCAAAAACATTATGTAGACCCTCTTTAAAGATGGGCACAACAATGGCTTTATTCCAGAGTGATGGAACCCAGTCTGCCATACCTTCCCAAACAATGTAGTGAGTTCATTGACTGACTGACGCTGATGGAATCAACATGTAACGTTGCGCACACGTGCATCGGCTCAACTTGCCACACTTCTCAAAAGTACACAAAAAATAGGTGGATAGAAAAAGACTAATATCAGAGTAGATAAAGTTTAGCGAAAGAATAAACAACTTGAAGATAAAGGTTAGTGTGAATATTCAAGATTTAGAAGAAGTCAAGGAGTGAATCCATCTGCACCATTGTCACTGATTTTCACCCATATCATCCAGAGTCCTCAACCACTGATTCCTTTCTTTCGTCTTGAGAACGTCAACCAGGTAGTCTACATCTTTCCACACGGCTCAGACCAACAGTCAGAGACTATGTCTTGGTCTGGCCACTCTGAACCCTTTTCTATCGTAATCCAACTTCCCCTAGCATGGCATATTGAGGTAGGCGATGGCTTGGCATATGCAGTATACGTCGAAACCATCTCAGTCGAATAAGGTTCATAACCTGGTCAATCGACTTGACTACATTCCGAACACATAAACGACTCATAAAAAAGGTTCTCTTAAAGCAACTTTTAATTTGGTTAACTTTTAAAAAGAAGAAAAGCAGTAAGCCAAGAAGAGTTGATATAAACCTAAACTATCTTAAATCCCTCACATTCTATGTCATACGGGAAACAAGAGACATCATTCCGTTAAGTGGCTTACAAATGAACAACTCCATAACATAAATACCTGTAATGTTTATGCGGTTGTCTTAAAAATAGAAAAGATAGGCATTAGCACATGGCTTGGGATCACACAGTTCACGTTGTCAAAAAGACAAAATACGAACATAACTGTACCACTGAAATTGTTTTGTTTTTTTGACTAGTGAGAAATTGTATTCATCATGCGTCTATACTTTATGCAAGATTGAAATGCTGTTTACTTGGTGTTCAGATAAAAATCCTTACTTCGCTTACAAAAAAACTATGTCAAACTATTTTAGGAGTAAAACTTGGACCCTGCGGTAGATTGTAATTCCATTTTAGTCTGTTTATTAGAAATGTCACACAATGAAGGAACAGTAGCATTTACTAGATAACGACGTTTTGGATACAATTTATTGTCTATATTCATATCGAGTAACTCTACAACTTAGAGACAGACTTTATATATTCCTAAATTTTTCTCCTTCTTTGTGATGACAAGGGTAGTAGAATTTTCCACATATTTTGGACAGGTGCAGAACCATTTCTATTTCATGTATTTGGTGTTGATTTGATAAACAAAGATTCGGTTGAATTTTGAGGGAGTTGTGGAGATTTGGAGATATTTCAAGTTGTTACTCATCGTAGACTGACATCAGTTGGAGGAACAAAGGAAACCTGGGAGCACTGGACAGCTGTTTCGTCCCAGTATGGGACTCCTCAGCAGTGCGCACCCACGACCTCGCCAGGGATCGAGCCCGTGACCTTCAGGTTCCACGGCCAGCGCGTTACCATTGAGCCACTGAGTCAGAATCCAATGGTCCATATTTCCAACTTCTGTTAGCTCACGATATAGTGCAACCGCCACCCAATGTCATCGTTGAGTAACTGTCCTCACGACCATCAGGCTTTGACTCCACCGGTCACGACTTCTAATTGGAACTTCGGGGATGCTTCTCGAAGCTAGCCACACCAATGAGCACCAGGTTTCCTTTGTTCCTCCAACTGATGTCAGTCTACGATGAATAACAACTTGAAAGATTCCGTTATCAATCTCTCTCCATGCATTCAACTGTTACTTTTTAACACTATCGCTCTATCCCACCCTACTGCGTGTAGAGCTACAGCTGAACTTTATTCTAAATTTCTTATCTTATTAGGATCTACCGTCTTGATTTAGCTAAGCTTCTGTGTTCTGTTATTCTAATCGACTCTGACTAGTCGACTACTTTGACCGATGTATTTGACCTCACATTCATTGCAAGGGATTTAGTAAGCCGGATTATTTTGTTTAATTCCATCGATAGGATCTTTTAACCTACAAAGCTTGTTTCTAAGCGAGTTTATTGGTTTAAATACCAGTCACTTTAATCCCAGCCTTATTGAGGATTCTTCTCAATGCTTGTGAGGTGCCTTCTTTGTATGATAACACACCAGAGACTTTGAATTCTCTCTCAACCCTGCCATCATTATTACCATTAGCAGTAGAACCATTGTTAATAACACCTGTATTACTACTACTACTAATATTTTTCTTCCGATTTCTTATGAGTTTATTTACAAATTGATGTGTCTAATTTTTTGTCGTAGATTTTCTGGTCTACCAGCGGGCTTTTCCATCCTGTCAAACTGTTTGGATTTTGGGTGTGCGTGCATCACCGACAAGTCTTAGAACTAGCAAAATACATCTGCTCCATGTTCCCTAATTTTTAATGATTTTATAACTTGTACCAATAGATGTAAATCACTCTGAAATTAATTAATTTCTCAAACCACCAAACAGGAGAGTCGAGTGCAGACCAAATCCTATCGATCACATTTGCAATGTGGTCATCAAGCTAGAAAACCTAGCATCGAGGTGCACATTAGTAGATGTTAATTGGTTGGAAGCAATCCGCAGGAAGCCCTGGACCTGGGTTTCGTGTTTATTGGCATTCGTCAGCAAGGCGTGTCTGCAACATCAACGGAACTAATGCCCTACCTGAGATTTGAACCCGCGTCACCCAGTGTTGTAGTCAGCGACTTTACTACTGAACTATTCATCCATCAGGTGGAAAAGTGGTATCACAGGATAGAATATCTTTGACAGGGAAGTACTTCAGTATGCTAACGACATATTATTTCACTTTCACTGCATTAAGTTGTGTGAATAGTCATGTCAGTCAGTAGTAAACTTTAGATAATTTGGAGTTTGAAAACAAAGTTGTTATCATCACTCCATCAACATAGGACCAGGCATTACTACGTGATGGTCCGAGTTGCCACAACTAATATCAGTACATCAAGTAAAAAGGCAGTGAAGTGGAAGATAAAGAAAAGAAAATTCAGTCAAAGGAAATATAAAATACCAAAGGAGAGAAAGGGAAGAATAAGGAAATGTTGAGATTTAGTAAAGCGTTAAGATGAGGATAATGTGTGTATACATCTGCACCACTGACATCGGTTCTGAGCCATATCATCTAGAGTCTCCAACCACTGGTTCCTCTTATCCGGCGGACCCCAACCGGGTAGTCTGCATCGCCCTACATGGCTCAAACCAACAGTCAAGGGCTTCATACATTGATGACATGTTTTAGTCTGGCCGTTTCGCGTCTTTTTCCAGCTTGAACCTACTTCGGCCAACATTGTGTGACGACGCAGACGGCGACTAGCCATACGTAATACATGTAGGAGCCAACCATCTCGGTCGATGAAGGTTCACAACCTCACCAACTGACTTACCTCTTCTCCCTAAAACTCTACACCTGACTTGTGCGTTACTCACGTGGTGACACAATGGAATACGGCCCATACTACGAAGTTGTTGTAGTATACTGAGCTGTATTGGTACACATTAGTTAGCTACTGACCTTCAGATTATCTTTGACTAATACATACTTCATAGCTTCATTAGTCATATCTATAACAAAAAAAGTGAAAACTCATTTCACTTAGTCAGCAGTTGTGTACCGACATTCATTCTGTTTGAATACGGTTACTAACTGAGAAATACTCATGGTGGATAAGTACAAAAGTTGTGGATAACCTATTCCTTCTGATGACCTCAACCCAGAGTTCATCTAGTTAGGAACTATTTTAATATTCTCATAAACAAAACTGCATAGACAAAAAAAACTAAGATAAATCTCATATATAATTCTTTCCCTTCACAGTTTTAAATAGAGGGAGAACAACAGAACTAGCAGAATAGCATGGATCAATTTTATTTCGTAGTTTCTCATCAGCTGCTTCCAACCGGATATCCACAGAAATTCACCAGTAAGCACAAGAATGTACCGACTAAAACTGTAAGGTGGGATAAAGTCGACAAATCTTGCTTTCAGAGGTGATGGTGTTTCCGGTAAATGCTGCCTTGAAGGAGAACTTATCCAGCTGCTAGGTTAATCGTACTCTACCGAACAGCTCGCTCATTGAAACAATCAAAGGTTGATAAGTCCTCTCTTCATGTTACCTCCAACTGCATCTACCGATTCACATGTACGTGCACAAAGTACATGCATTGAACAAACAGAAAGAAGGGTTGGTGATCGCATGTTTGATCATACACTCCAAGGAATTTGCAACGTTGAGGTGAATAAATCTTCAACAGCACTATTACTTGTCACCTTATTAATAGTGGACAAGAAGTCGATATTCACAAATCGTTCAAAATAATTAACAAACAGATGAATTCGAATTTGTTGCATTTTGTTGAAGCGTTAGCCATTAAATGATTAAAACCGAACTTATGTGTTCAGAAAGAAACAGTTATCAGTCTGTGCCTACCATGATCAAGACTTTTGTTTTGTTGACATTCATTATGCTTTTTTACATATCATTGTCGATTCATACAAGTTGGGTTTTTTTTTTATTATTTCGTATTTCACACCCTTGACCTAATTATCTGAATCCCACTCACGTTAGCTTGTAGTTAATACAAATCTTATGACCTTTAGCACATTTTGTGTAACCTTTCGGAATAAGTTGTATATAATTATCTCCTCTAATCCGACTTCCGCTCTGAAATATTCGTCTAATGTTTCTACATATTGGATATTTATGCACTCAACTCGTGAATTTTTTAATACTTCATTTCGATGTTGTCTTTAAGTTGGTATTCATCATGGACTGACATTAATTGGAAGAACATTGGAAACCTGGGACCACCGGACAGCTGCTTCTTCCTAAGCAGTACGCACCCATGGCCTCACCCACTGAAGCACTGGGTCGAAATCCAACGGAAGTTCCAGTGAGAAGTCATAACCAGTGAGGCAAACCTGGTGGATGTGAGAACAAACACTTAACGATAACATTGGGTGATGGTCACTCGATGTCGTTAACTAACAGGAGTTAGAAATATGGACTGTTGGGTCTCGACCCAGTAGCTCAGTGGTAACGTGATGGCCAAGGAACCTGGAGGTCCTGGGTTCGATCCATGGCGGGGTGGGGGTCATTGGTGCGCACTGCTGAGGAGTCCCATACTAGGACCAAATAGCTGCCCAGTGTTCTAGGTTGTAAGCGGCTGATGAGAAACCACGAAATTAAACGGATCTGTGCTATTCTGCCAAAGTTGTTGTTCTTGCTCTACTTAGGATCTTTCGAAGAAAATTTCGAAATGAAAACTTGGCCTATCACATAAACTGTTTGTCAGGTGAAAGTATGCAGTCATGAATAATGCAATTATTGTTCATGAACATATGACAAAAAACAGCATTTTAATCAGGTCTGATGAAAGATGAAGATTTAAGTTGTATGACAGAAAAACAGACAAAATCAACGTAGAACCTTCCACACAAGTGGAATTTGGTACACCTTGAAGATCCATTACAATAGCCATGTTAGGTCAATTTAATAATCACAGTTAGGTCCTGTATATGTTTATCAGATGCCTGTTGTCCAGTTTCAGAGTTCGAACTTCGAAAACTCCAATGTGAAATCGATAGCGGGATCTTAGGAGACTAGGAATGAGGTTTTGATCCCTGGCAATGGTCGCAGAGTGAGAGGTTGATGAAGGTGTAAGAGGCTTAATAGCAGTTTCAGGACGTGAATACAAAGGAGACAGAGTTGAGGAGGATAAGCTATGTTTAATTGGGTTTTGAACACTATTGGAAGCGTGAGGGCTGTTGACACTTCCCAGCTACCCACACTATTGAAAGCACATTCAACGTAGAATTCTCAACAAACGAAATAGACAAGCACTTAATATGACCAGGTTCGGAGGGTAAGCTGGTTTCAATATGTCTAAACGAAATATAAAACGTGATTCACAACTTTTCTAGATAAAGTCTGTTTTCAAATCCAGGCAAATGAATAAACCCACAAGCATATTGAGTTAATTAGATCATTCAAACAAAATCCTGCTCTCTGAACGAAATCCATCTTTGCAAACGGTCGATGAGTTCATTTTCAAACAAACTAAACGTTCCTTTACTGTTTCTTTCTCACCTGATTGGTGAAATACCAGAATTTTCAGGCAAATAATATCTAGCTACTATTTATGCTATTCAGTAGACTATCATTACTTAAGTAAATTAAACGAATGTTAGACATACTTGGTTCCGTGTAAATTTCAGTGAAATCTCCGGCTGCCATAGAAAATTGTATATTGGCTGGCAAATCTGCTGGACAAACATCAGGAAAATGAACTGCAGCCAGCTGATCCTCACGAGTCATATTATTACAAAACTGAGAAACCCATGGATATATCTTATATTCGTTGACCTGTTTACAGCTGAAAGCGGGAAAATCATTATAAAACCAAGTAATTGTACATGGTCAGTGGAAATAAGTTAATGATGATAATTTTAAAGTAATTGGAATATAAATTGACGGTGAAATGGTTGTCTGTATTTTATATGAGAAGCCACATCAGCCTTAATGAGTTTGGTTGCGAACAAGACACTAGCAAGGATACTACAGAAAGTTGCTTAGCATTTACCATTTCTTACCTCATGAGATATCGAACTGTTGTCCATCGAAAGGAAAGTATGCTGCATAGTAGTCTGTTCTACCGTAATGTACAATTCTCAAACGAAGGCAATGATGATGTCAAAGGTTTCCCAATCATATATATGTCTGAAGCACTCCTTGAGATTAGTAAAACTACAGGTGGGCTGTCTAGTATTAGGCAAAGGTGAGACAGTGAAGTTGTGAGTTTAACGCAACATATGCGGCTGGAACATGCGACAGAGTTTATAACCATCAGAATTTGTGAAGCCAGTAAATTAGCTGTCGAAACTCTGAATCTGATAACAACAGACAATAGTTTCAATCATATTTATCATTGTTACATACCACTTATTCTCTTGTATCTTTTTTCACCATTACAGCAAACAACCTAACTGATCTTGGGAGTCAGGACATTCTACCAGAAAAGTAAACAGAAACGAGATAATAAAACTAGTAATACAACTTTGTCCAGTGGTCAGTTGATTCTGTCGGAGGTCTATATCCCAAGTTTCCTTTGCAACGATGGTTTAAATAATCAACCACCTTCAATCAAAGTGTTACTAGAACAAAATCTGTTCCATATACTTCAGTGTGAGCACCCACGTAGTATCCTTCATGCATATACGATAAATATGACAAGCATCGAATGGAAATCTACTCAGTTACTTTGTGCACATTCATGCAGTAGGCAATAAGCCACACCTAGTTTGTGAGGGATGATGATACTATATGGTTGATTAAACCTCAGTAGGCAGAGTTGTTTTCGAACTCGTGACCCATTTGATTGAAAGTCACCTCCCTAAATCAATAAGCCATAGCCACACAATAGAACATCAGACTACACAAACTACACTTGAGCATGATTAAATGTATCTATTCTTCCCATCTATCCAATCAATTATTATCATCACAGTAATTATTCCATGAGTAAATCAATGTCAATTCTTAAAGGTGACTTGCTAAAAAGTAAACAGGAATTTCAAGGAGCATACCCCTTTCGACAATTCTACTCTCTACAGTTGTACAATTACAATTTTGTACTTTTTCTAGATTTAAAATATTTTTAAAGTTATATAGATATTACAACATTATTGTTTAACATGATACCAAGAAAATAAAGTTAAATGAAAGTCCACATTGTATGATAAATCAAGTATGATTATTCATCATAACACTGTAAAGAAACTGAGAACACTAAGAAGTTTCAATATATGGTTGTGTATCATAAAAATACATTTTTGACGATGAACAATGAACAAGGAAAGTGTTGAAATAAAAGAAATGAAGAAACACAACTAAACCAAAACAAATTGACTGTTAAAGCTCATGGTTATGATTATGATAATATAAACAAGGGTTGAAAAAGTTTATTTATGATACACAATCTTGGCTTTTATATACATATGACAAAACGTATCTGGAATGCAAGATTCAAAAAACATCTCATCTTTAAGAGATTTATTTTTATTATGTAAGATGATACTCTAGGCATGACTGGTCTGCAGCGACTCCCAGCCTAACGATCAGGAGTGAAGTGGTGGAATGTGTCGACCACCCGCAAGATGTCCGGTTATCTATCAGAAGACGAGTATACTGCACTGCAGTCCGTTGTCTTATAATAAGACTGTGAGACATGAAGCGGTTGCAGGTTTTGATCACAGATGTCTTAGTAGCATTGTTCGCGTGTGGTGGGATCATCGTGTGAGCAGTGTTGAGGTCAGGCGAAAGGTACTAGCCAAGATAGGCAAGTCGATTGACCAGGTTATGAACCTTATTCGACTGAGATGGTTTCGACGTATACTGCATATGCCAAGCCATCGCCTACCTCAATATGCCATGCTAGGGGAAGTTGGATTACGATAGAAAAGGGTTCAGAGTGGCCAGACCAAGACATAGTCTCTGACTGTTGGTCTGAGCCGTGTGGAAAGATGTAGACTACCTGGTTGACGTTCTCAAGACGAAAGAAAGGAATCAGTGGTTGAGGACTCTGGATGATATGGGTGAAAATCAGTGACAATGGTGCAGATGGATTCACTCCTTGACTTCTTCTAAATCTTGAATATTCACACTAACCTTTATCTTCAAGTTGTTTATTCTTTCGCTAAACTTTATCTACTCTGATATTAGTCTTTTTCTATCCACCTATTTTTTGTGTACTTTTGAGAAGTGTGGCAAGTTGAGCTGATGCACGTGTGTGCAAGGTTACACGTTTATTTTGTCAGTAAGTTAGTCAAATGACGTTGAATGAAGAGTCTGTGATGACGTTACCGTCAGCATTGATGAAATTCTCAACAATGGCACTTCTGATAGATCCATTGACACTTATTTCCAGTCATCTGATGTGTTTTCAAACCTATGTGGGGAGAAACTAAATTGAGCGATCAATATATCCATCTCCACAAGGTTTGATGAACTGATATATGAACTATGAAGTAGTCAGATACTACGGATTTTTTTCCTCAGTTTTCCAGAAAATATTAAGTGGCTCAAGAATATGATTCTTATGGTTGACGCAAGAAAGTTTTAGTTTGAAGGTGAGAAATGTTTTCCATAATAGCAACAACTGAGTCATCTTTGAAGTCTAAATTCACTTAAAGTACCTTCATTATCATGGTTGAAATTTTTCTCTTTGTGGATTAGGTTTTTAGTTATCATGGTCCACAGAGAATTCACTATCACCTGAAACGAAATTTTTTTCTTCTGATATAGACGTTCTGTTCATCGGTATTATGCTATTAGGTTCGCTTAGATGTGTCATTAGCAAATCTTTCTTAAATCTTAGTTACTCAGACTGTTCTCTACGCTCTTTTTCAGAGTGATGAACGTTTGATTCTGCGTTGAAGTCTCAGTGATAACAATTGAAGGAAGTTAATTTAAAGTGCTGGAATGCTGTATGCATAATATGAAGTTTGTTAACAGTTTGATTTATTTCACAATATTTGATCCCCCCAAGACAAGAGACTTACAGTAAGTATCAACAAAGTAACTGAAGTGTGAATAAACATGAAGTTACTAATATTATCAGGAAATTTATGTCAGATTTCAATAGGTCTCGGACTGCTGATAAAACTCTAGCTGAAAACGCCCATACATCACACTGGTAAGATATTATTTATTATTATTAGAACACAAACGTGATACAACAACTGCACCAAGAAATGAGCCACACAAAATAATGTAACACTATTTTGAAGATATAAAGCGAAGGAAAGTGGATAAAAATAAAACATAGTAAGAATAGAATGATTAGAAGGGCAACCCAGTATGATAGATTCAAAACAAAACATTCATTACTATTTAGCAGCAGAAGATAGGAGGAAGCTATAGTAGGACCACCACTGGTTTCGATTCCGAGCCAGAGGGTCGTGATGCACCAACAGATGCCAACCCGATACAAATATCCCTCATTTCATAGCGCCACGTGATAAGCTGACCACCCCTCCACTTCTTCCATTTAGAACCAGGGTCAGCAAACAATGAACGGTATGAAAGCAGTTGGGACGATATGCGAAACACATATCCAAGCCATCGAAGCCGGTGTTTCCAGATGACTTCACTTAGTGAATGACGATCTCCATCATGCTCAAACACACGGTGTCGTATAATCTCAGAATTACCGACATGATGTTGCCACCGGACACAATCATTCCTACGGAGACAACGATGATCAAACATACAGAGTCGTCGCACATCCTCAGCTCAGAGAGGCCAGGTTCCACAGGTGTAGAGAACTGCTCGCACCGAAGTGTTGTAAACTCAACCTTCTACGGTCAGACCAACGTCGCAGTGACGCCAAAGGTGGCCCAGATTGTTGTACTTCACTCTTGCTTTCGATATACGGTTAGAAATCTCATCATTCATACTTTCCACCATATGATAAATCACATAAAGTGGTGGATCGTTTTGATATTCTGCATTCCGTGTTTGTTGACGAACAGAATCGACAACGAGGGATTTCCAGTTAGGGTATGCGGTTTACGGTGTCTTTTAATACGACTTCGTATAATCGTGATTTGTAATGCCACTTTTAAGAGACCTGACTTTCGCATTCACTTTAGTAAGCTTGACTGAGTAACTCATAAACCCATTACATCCTTCAGTTGAAAGGTCGTTGGTACTTTTTCGATTCTGCCTTACATAAATAGGTTTGGGCAGTCAGTTAGTGTCATAATCTTTCACACAAGTGTGGCACATGTTGTAGGAAGCAATGTCTTGATGTGTTCAGGTAATCACAGCTGACGTAGGTAGACCACATGTTAGCAACGCCTCCAAGATCTTTATGTTCAAATAACCCCTAGTCTTATTTATCTTTGACAGTTACATCTTGCAAATACAACCAAGGAAGTAGCTACACTTCTTTATTATGTGTGTTCGGGGAACGCAATATATATTCTTGGAATGGGACTCTACAGTCTCTGAATAAGAAATTGAATTGTTGAGGTCTTAAACAGTCAAAAGCTTTTTTAAGATCCCAAGACTACTGATTTGTAAGTTCAACATTTTAGCAGCAGTCTCACACACGAATTGAAGAAGTAGTATTATCAGCATCAGTATTAAACAATGAAAAGGAGTTTCATCAATTGTAATAAGCAAGAGAGATTACTCTGTTTATAAAAGCCCTACACAATGTTCGCAAACATGGTGACAACTACAAACACACGGCTAGTGAGAAACAAATAAAACTGACAATGATACAGGGTGGTGATTGAAGGTGAAACGAAAGTTTGGACAGCGGCTGGATTCGAACCAGCGACCAGCGCGTTCCCCGTTTGATGCTCTACCAACTGAGCTACGAGGTCCAACTGCTGACCAGATTTTTAGTTCACTTCAATTACCAGGGGTTTTGCCCGACTACCATGTGGAGTCGTGACAAGTTAGTATCGCTTGTTAGTATTCACACTGGTTGCCTAGTCAGAACTTCTCATCCCAATCCAAATCTAACTGAATCAGAAAGGGGGAGCATCATATTGATTATCATTTTGACTACCCGAGACAGCCGTGGTTTGGCAGACTAGTATCGATACTGGGTGATGACTGACCTTGTAGCTCAGTTGGTAAAGGATAGGGTCAGAAACCCGGTGGTGGCTGGTTCGAATCCGGCTGCGGCGCAAATTTTTATTTCACCTTTAATTACCGACCAGGATCAATGCTAGTTTACCAAAACACGGCTGTTTCAGGTAGTCAAAATGATAAAAACTAACAATGGCGGGTTACTGCCGAAACTAACTGATTACATGAGTAAAAACAAGAATATGAGGACACATGATTAATTGTTCACTTCTGTAAACAAGTGAGAATGCATACTTGGTTCAACTATTCAGCTAGAATTATCCAATGACATTAGAATAAGGGAAACTCTTAGACTGGTGTCACTGTATCAATTGGTAAAAATGTATGCTGGAAAAACTAATGACTTTACTATTCATTAAAATCAGCTCCTTAATGTAAATTAATGATAACCTAGAAAATTGGTAGCATAAAACTAGATAAATACATGCACAAAGACATACGTATTCAAGATAAAATAGGCTGGAATAAGCATATACAGGCTCCATTCATTCCCCTGACATGTGTATCCAAGATGAGCAAGTTCCCAAGCTAATCGACCAAGGCCGGCACCAGGAACCAGGATATTTACATCTGCGGGGTTTCTAAGAAAAGAAGTAATAAACCTTTGTTTTTTAGTAGTAATCATCATCATCATAATAATAATAATAACCGGCATAATACTGTTAGACGAACTTACAGAAATATTCAGAGAACAGTAAATGCTCAGAGGAATTAGACACTGCTTCATCGTTGTATGATCACAGCTACAGTGAGCATGATGATGCATCAATAAATCTAATGGAAATACACGGAGAATAACACGGAGATCTGAGTAATTATGATGTATAAAAACGGGCTACAATACCATTCTCAACTATCACAATATAATGACTCAGATCAAATACCATGCACACGAATGTGTCATATGAAAGTACTAACCGGTATCTTTTAAACAAAGTTTTTCTTGTAGATAGGTACGTATCACAAGTACTTTTTATCACTGTACAAATAATCGTTACATTTATAATTCCTATTTAGTTTTGTGGTTCCCTGGTTAAGGAATTTGGTCTTAAAGTGTGAGGTTATACGTTTGATATGCATCTCATTTACAAAAGTTGTTTCAAAAGCATCGCTCAAGTATGGCAGAAATATCGCGTAAATAAAACACAGATATAATGTCCACCCAACTAATGAATTATTGAAAACTGAACCGTTACGAAGGATTACCAAGTCTTGTGGTAGAAAGGATGTGTTTCAAGGCTTATCATCCAGTTTGTATTGAGTTGTGGCTGACTTAGGCACTCGATTTATGAAGGAAAAAAAGTAGGCAGATACAGGTAAAGGGTTATTGGCTATACTTAAGGTTTGAAGATATATGATACTATCTGATTCCCCAAGTTGATGTAACTCAAACAGTAGTACATCTAGACTAAATACTTGCAAGTCAGGCGATTAGGAGGAATCGCATAACAGCATGCTCTCAATTACAATCAATGCATAATGCGATTGAACTCTACTCAATCTAAAAGGAGGCGTCAGCTGGAAGTATCATCTGCTTGCATATAATGCGTCGCAGGAAGACACAAAATTAGCGCAGAACCTCCCACACAAGTGCATACATTCAATATGACAAACTTCACAGTAGTATGTAAAAGAACAAGTGGGTAGGAAAAAAAGCATATAAATAATAGAGCACAGCAGACTGCAGCACGCTATACTCATCTCTTAACAGGAAGTCGGATACCCCACCAGTCAGTGCCAGAGATGATTCAAGTTTGCAAATGCTCAGATAGGCCTTATGATGTTGAGCTGATCCTTCGTCAGTCACTAATCCACTCCGGTTCATACAACTTCAAATTAGATGAAGTGGTCGTGCTATTCTACCGCCTTAACCTTTATCTTTAAATCAGGGGTTGGTGCAAACCAGTTTTGAAGTATCAACTCACATTTCAAAGATGCAAGGTGCATGCCGAGCATACTTAGTTTTCTGTTCAAGATGTTCAGAAGACTCTGGATTTTGTCAGTGTCTTCGCCTAATAGGACAACATCGTCTGAGTATTGTGAGTCAACGAAGCGCCTTATAGGAAGTTAGTTGATATAAAGTTGGAGGTACCCGGGATTACTGCATTATTACGTCTATAACGGAGTTAAACGGGAACAGTGACAACAGTATTGGTCTCAGAAAAGTAACACAAGGAGGTCAACGAAGGTAAGGAAGGTAGGTTATGATTAGCTGGATTTTGAACAGTTCAGAGTGTGCGGGTGACTGGTACTTACTGGCTGCAGACACTGTGGAACTTACTTTTCCTCTGAAAGGGAAAAGGGTTTGGTTTTGTATGACCAAAGAGCCCATCGGACATCTTTTTAAGGCTGATCACGGGATTTTCAAGTGTGTTTGAGATTTGATTAAGTTAACACCGAACAAGAGCTCGTACTATCAGCACTAGAATATGACTGAGTAGGGAGAAGTGTGCTGTTCCTAATCTCCCATCTCACATGGAAAATAACATGAGGATAGACTGCTGATCATCTTTCGAAAACACCTTACTGCTGCTGCACTCCAGTCCAGTCAGGAGTACGGCTTCACCCACGAACCCCTCTATCATAGTGTAGTAATTTACACTATACCAGTAAGTGGCTTTTGTCTTGCCCTTATCCAACGCACCTTGTTGGCATTATAAGACTTCAAGAAGTAGCATAGCTCCTTGGCCCATCGTGAAGGCAAGCCCGAATACCACGTTAAGTTAGCAGCTACTAGTCGGATGATATGTGACTTGGAACTTAGTGTACGAACTTGTATGCAGTTTCTCAGTTATCAGTCAGCACCAACTCGAAACCTGGGATTTCCAAACCTCACATCAGCATATCAAAGTAGAAGCCGCGAGGATGGATGACACAGAAATAAGAAAGAAAGTAGTCAAAGCGGTGGAAAGTCGTTAAATGAAAGGAATGAAACAATAATGAAACTGGATGCAAAGATTAGGATAAAGTTGGACGTGGATATCTGGTAGTCATAACATCCTGAGTCTAAAACTACCAATTTGAACTGTCACACGGATCTCAAACGGGAATTCTACATTTCCCTAGATAGCTCAGACCAAAAGTTAGCTAATTCATGAACTGATGACATGTTTGTGAGTTGCGTTAATAATAAAAATTAGTATATGAACCTGTGCTTCACCCCTGCGTTTTATCTGCTTTTATATAATTTCGATGTTTTAAAACCATTTAATATCAATTCTAATCGTGACTACACGTAACATTAATGGAATACAGTGTGAATACTAACCAGTTGATAGACTGAAACGTTAACTGACAAAAATTCTTGCCTAAATCGTTTGTGAAAAGCATAAACGGGATTGGGTGAATTCTAACTGTAAGGATGACCGAAATTGATAATGGACTACAGAAGGCATGTCTAATATAGATATGATCGCAGCTCATTCCAAGTTTAAGGATTACAATGATTTAAACACATGTGTATGGAATGTGGAGCTGCGACTCATTGATCTAGGCATTTGATTTTCAACCGATTGGTCACGGATTCGAATCCGGCTCTACCTATCGAGATGGGGGCAGAAAGATTTTATAACCAGCTATCAAACGATATGTGCGACTCTCATGCCTACTGCACGGATGTGTACAATGTTTCTCAGTGGATTTCAACTTCGCAACGCTTCAGTTCCCAGGTATCAACTCTGAACCTAGATGAAACACACGTTGGTCCTCCAACTTTCCTCCAAGTTAGGGAGGCTATTTTAAACATGCAGCGGTGCAAGCAGCAGGATCTGACAATTTGTTACCAGACGCGTTTGAGGAAGGAGGTAGGAAATTGCAAAGAAGGGTGATGGAGCTACTAGGTAGCATGTGGGAAACAGCAATACTCGTAAGACTGGTCCACATCACTGATCATTCCAGTTTATAAGAAGTCTTGTGACAACCATAATGAAATGAGTCTGAACAACAGTGTCCAGAATCGTAGTCTATAGTTAGCCTACAAATTTCTCAGGGGCTGGAGAACAACAAACTTGAGAAAATTAGAAACGTCTCAAAATTGAACGAGAGAACCGACGAAATCTTCATTCTTCCACGGATTTCAGAACACGAACATATCTAACGCCAACCAACACTGGCAATACATCTCATGATCTGAAAGCGACATTTGATTCTGTCCACTGACAGGTGTTTTGGCAGTGCTTGACTGTGGAGAAAGTGCCAAACAAGTAATGCTGAAAAGGATCTCTAGAAGAATCCAAGTGGCAGCATAAGGGTGCATGGTGAGCTGCATTTCAAAATGACGACAACCGGTGGCGTCCCCCAGAGTTGCTCGCTGTCACTTCCCGTCTAACTCCGTTATAGACGTAATAATGCAGTAATCCCGGGTACCTCCAACTTTATATCAACTAACTTCCTATAAGGCGCTTCGTTGACTCACAATACTCAGACGATGTTGTCCTATTAGGCGAAGACACTGACAAAATCCAGAGTCTTCTGAACATCTTGAACAGAAAACTAAGTATGCTCGGCATGCACCTTGCATCTTTGAAATGTGAGTTGATACTTCAAAACTGGTTTGCACCAACCCCTGATTTAAAGATAAAGGTTAAGGCGGTAGAATAGCACGACCACTTCATCTAATTTGAAGTTGTATGAACCGGAGTGGATTAGTGACTGACGAAGGATCAGCTCAACATCATAAGGCCTATCTGAGCATTTGCAAACTTGAATCATCTCTGGCACTGACTGGTGGGGTATCCGACTTCCTGTTAAGAGATGAGTATAGCGTGCTGCAGCCTGCTCTGCTCTGTTATATGGCAGTATGACATGGTCACTGAATGCAGAAGATTTGAAGAGATGACACGTTTCTGACTTCAGATATCTTGACCGCACTGTTTACGTATGGTGGAATGATTGTGTGAAAAATGTCGCGGATAAAGGAAGGGTAACAGGTAAGGCTGGTAAGTCACTTGATGAGATTGCGAGACTTCATTGACTGAGGTGGCTCGGACATGTGTCGTGTTTGCCCTGTCACCACCTACTTCGAAGTGCAATCTTTGTCAAAGCTGGTTTCGGTAGGAAGGAGGGGTGATGGTGGTCAAACGAAAACAGTGGTACCAGTGCATGAAGTTTTAGAATGTTAGTTTGGGTCATGTGGCAAAGTGTAAACTACTTGGTTTGGGTTGGTTGTGTCGAGAAGATAGGAACCATTATTTGAAGACACTTTGGTTACATGACTAAATATCAGTCGTAATGTCGCAGATGAATTCACCCTATGACGTATTTTAAAGTTTAAACGCTTCCAGGAAACCTCATTTTTCACATTTTCTCCCTCTGTATACTTGCCTACCTTGATATCAGACTGTTTTTATACATTTTGGATACTGTTGTGATGTTCGTCAGTTTGAACAGATGCATTCGTTTGAGGGATTCTACGTTGTTTTCCAGTCTCTGTATAAGGATTTACACCTCATAGAGGTTTGATCTGTATTTATAACCAATGTCTTAACACCTACTGCAGGGTTACTAAAGCATACAGAACTTTTAACTGCACCTACATCTCGTCAGAATATCGACCAACGTAGTGCTTCGAGTTCTCACCACAAATCTATGAGAAATCCTGCTACCACACATGGTTTACTTGTCGCTTTTCTTCGGCGTAGTTAAGACTACTTAGAGGTAGTGAAATACTAGTCTTTTATCTTACAGTAAATTTAGTAAGTCTTTTGATGACACTGGAACAAATCTCTCATACATAACTGATAGATCTAGTGACTTCTAGTAAACCGGAAGCACTGAAAATGTGGTGAGACAAGGCATTATTCGAGTCAAGTGTACGGGACAAAGCTTTTCCCTTCCAGTTGAATTCGGGTGAATTGAGGACCTGATTATGTACTCACGACTACTAAGCAGTTGGAAAGCAATGCCAGAGGAAAAAAAGTATGCACTTTAAACTTACACAGTTTTTGGATCAAACAGCTCGCAAACATCATTCAGCACAACTTGATAACAAACATCTCGTTCTGCTTTCCCTTCAACTGACCAATCTCTCACAAACTGTTTTAGTGCAGACCGGACCTTGTCCATATCGCTGTTGGTAAATGCGAACGGGCCGAATTTATTCCCAGGATAGACTGCATGATCAAGCTTTGCGTTTGACTGGTTAAGAGGTTTACTTGCAGCGTTTAGCTCTGGAGCCTTTATGGTCGTAATAAAATTCATTTACTGTAAACCTACATGTTCTCCATTAAAAATATCTGGAGCTGAGTGCTGAATGATGTCACCAACTAGATTGTTGTTGTGAAGAATGCATCCTTCGACTTTCTTGAGATTTTCTTCGAACTCTCGGATAAGTTTATGATGAGAAGAAGGCAAAGAGTGGTAGTAAGCACGCGAACGCTCAACCCGTTTGAGGAGATGTGAACTATTTGTTCATTCAGAATGCACGGCTGGAAAAACCTACCCAAAGAATCTGAAGGCTGCCAATGTCCTAATAAAGTGTTGACGATCCATTTCAGCAGCATCCCGCAACTGTTCATCGGAACCTGTCATCCTATAACTGAAACCCAAATAACGCGCAGAACAAGGACGCCGAAGACTGACCTTCGTTTCAAACTTCAAACTTCGTGTTGTAGAATTAGTGAACGATGGTTACTTGAGTTCTGCGTCTGTCGTATTAGGGTGCGTTCTTTGTTCCGAATGGCTTAAGTCGTTTTTCTGGTTCCCAGAAGCCTGAAAGGACAGAGAACTCGAAGAAACTGTCAAAGGTTATCAGTGAAGCTACTAAGCATTGGAAACCTGTTGTAAAAGCTTCGAAGGCCATCGACACACGATCCAAGGATTTCCGACCGACACCCAGAGTGGTCTTCTGAAATTCTGGGGGTTTGTCGGACACGGACCCTTCAATACGTCATCGGCCAGACCTGAAACTGATTGAGTCGGTTACCAGACATTCTACCTGAAGCATCTCGAGGAGCACATATCTCCAAGGTAGTCGACTTAGGTAAAAAGAGGATGAAAAACCCGAATGAAGGAGGATTTTGAAGGTTGTTCTGGGCAACATAGAAGGAGAGGGTGTACTGTTGAATAACGCATCTGAACTGCAAAGTTTGGTCATCCACTTCCGACCTGACTGGTCTCTCGAAATCCGGACACAAAGGAGCGAAGCGATCGCTGTGCTTGAAGCTCGACAAGCTAGTGGAGTGAACGGCCTTAAAGTCAAGGGTTTTTGGGTTGAAAGCGAATACTTCCAAGGTCTGCATGGGTGGGTCACGGAACTCTTCTAACACAGTGAACGTAATCTATGCCAATTTTCACAGCATTAGGAACAAAATGACAGACGTCAACCTTCCGGACTAAAGTCTATGAACTAGGTGTTGGTATAGCTGCCCCTGCCGAAAAGTGGCTACTGAAGGATTTATGTTTTATGCTACTTCTAAGGGGGTATTACTGTGTAAAGACAGGTGGCATTGTGAACCAAGGTGGTGGTATACTGCTTCATGTTCTTAATGGTATCCACTTACGACCAGTCACTTTCGAAGCGCTTGAATGCAGCACCAGCGGAGTGGCCAGTTGTGGGCTGAAGTCGAAGAAAGGTTTCTATACTATGGCGGTCATCTACCATAGTCCATCACGACTCTCAAATGACTTCATGCTAACCCATATACTCAACTGGAGTAGATGCAACAGGTGCCTAGTATTTGGGGATCTAAAAGCTCCATGCATTAACTGGACGTAGCTAACAGTCTTAGCCCTGGGGCAGTTGCTTCTAGGATGACCTAACTTCAACGATATTAGAATCTCCTTTGGTTCAAAATGTAACTTGTTCAGCATGGTACGATTTTGAAAGCAAGCCATCTTTATTAGATTTGGTTTTAACCCATCAATGTGAAGATGTGGATTCACGCTGCTTTCCTCCGTTGGCTAACATCGATAATGTAGTGCTAACTTTCGGTCTTCGGACTAATAAGTGTGTTACGACACTGCTTCCCCCGGACCTATATGTGGTGTTCAGGTATTTCAGGACGCCATAATCAGCCCAGTTTTTAAGACCGGTAGTCGCCAGCTGCTGGTTAACTATCGCAAGGTGAGTCTAACTAGCATAGTTATCACGGTTTTCTAAAAAATAATTCGTGATGAGGTACCTAACCGTGTTGGATCCGACAATGTTTTGGGACCACAGCAATACGGTTTTCGTAATGGAGATTCCTGTCCAATAAACCTCACCGCAAGAGAGGAACGGGTTGGAGGCTGTGATTACAAGCTGCCAGTAGATGTCGTGTTTATAGACTTCAGTAGGGCATTCGACAAAGTGTCGCATGTCAAATTACCGGGAAAGCTCTTCTCTTTCAGGTTTGGTGCTCCATCGTATACCTGGATTAGGGACTTTCTGCACGACAAAAGGCAAAGAGTAGGGGTAAATGTGATACTGTCCAGGTGGAAACCTGTGATGAGTGGAGTTCCTCAGGGAACAACCCCATGTCCACCACTTTTCCTGCCTTATGCCGACGAAATACCAAAAGGCCCGACTCTTCGGTACTGCTGTTCGCCGACGGTGTGATGATTTGGGGAGCCATACGCGGTGATGCATATTGGTATGCACTTCAGGCGGATTTAGATGAACCAGTAGGTTGGTCCAAACGTTGGTGCCTGGAAATCCACTCTAACAAAAATGCAATAATGCACATTGTTCATGGCAACTGTTTCCAGTATTCTGTTGATGGTACACCACTACTCCCAGTCTTTTAACTGAAAGACTTGGATGTCATCATTAGCCATCATTTGAAAGCCTCGGCAAGCTGTAATGCAGCTGCAGCAAGGGGCTTCTACGTATTACGGACAGCTTTAAAAGTTTTGGTCAGGACGTGTGCAGAGTACTCTATTCTAATTACGTTAGACCTAGCCTAGAATACTGCATTCAGGTGGTCAGCCCATGCCCTAAACAGTATGCTGACACCCTCGAAAGTGTTCAGAGGGTGGATGTGGAGCTTAAGGCAAGCTTTTCGAATCTATTCTGTGAGGAACGACTAGATCTGCTAAACATATTCCCACTATCTTACCACAGGAAACGCGGAGATCTCATACTGGCATTTCGTATTTCTAACAATGACTTCGTTACTAATGTGTCCTATCTCTTCTCCCCTGGTAGGATTGACTGCATCCGAGGTCGTCACGAGAAAATTCAGAATCCACGATGGAATCAACTCAGCATGAATCTAGGTTTCGCACATCTCGTAGTGAACGACTGGATCTCCTTATCTCAGCAAGTGGCATCAGCACCTTGGGTCGACACGTTCGGGGAGAGAATTGGTCTTGACAACCGATCGGCGCCAAAAGACTCTACATGCGCATCTAACCTCCTTTTGAAGGCATAAGAGGAGGGGGCTGCGAGAATGCTTGCAGGAAGGGAGCTCCCTAGTTTGTATATCCTGTGCTGTAGAAATGGTGAAGTGTGTCATCTTGGGTTTTACCTTTGTGTTGACCGAATATTTCCCCTGTTTTCACCGGTTACAATTCTTTTTCGCTCTCTGAAACCTGAAACGACAGCAGTAATTGGTTGGCATTTAATCAGCTCTCCATTGGTGGTGCTGCAACTCAGTGTCCGCCGAGTTACAGGATTTTTTGAGCCCAGCCAATCTGTGCCACAGGACTCGGTGGGCGTCTTACCCTCCTGTGAACGCATCAACAGAAGGGCTGTTACAACTTCAGGGAAGTAATTTCGCAGCTGATACGCTGTAACCACAAACGCAACAGAACGGGTCTTGTTGCACTGTGATGCTGTGCACTGAAAGGATGGCCTCCAAAGTGAGGATTCCAATGAGAGATTGAGGGCAGCCTTCTAAAGTAAAGGGGAATATAGGTGATACGATTCAACACAATTATGTACAACTTGATCGTTTTGCATTGTAACGGTTGCAGGTTGGGGGTGACTAAGCGATCCAGCTAAGACACACACCCCATTTGGAGCATATATAAGTATCCCTTTCATAACTCCTTCAATTGGAAATTATCTCTTTGTTTCACCTTCTACATTTTGCACATTTTCCCTTACATACATAGAGCTGGAGGTTATTTATTTTTGATATCCAATTTCTTCCTGATACAACTTTCTGTAAGTTGCTTGTCGCCTGCGTAAAAATGAGTTGGCTCACCTCCACTACATCACTCCTGTTTCCGCTCCTGCCCCTGACACTTGGGTCACTTAACTCTTTTCACCTCTTCTGTTAACTTGTTCGAAGACCTTGATATCTTTCTTCAAATTCCCGGGCATAAATATCCAATTTTTCGATTTGGTAGGATTGTCGTTCGTATACAGTGGTGAATGAGCCTGAAGTTGGTCGCTCCGAAGTTCGATGAGTAGATCCCGAGATACCGTATGACATTTTCGCTGCAGGGTAGCGATTCGTGGCATCTACAGGTAAGTCTTGTACCTTTCTAATCGCTCGAGTGACAGATAGTTCATTCCATCTGGAGGCAGGAACTAAAATGACGCTCATATTCGCCTACTACCACTTCCATACACTTCCCTTGCTGAGAGGGGGATGGTTTCCAGTGGTCTGGCCGAGAACTTTAGTCAGGTCTTTCCGGAGGACAGATATATTCATTGACCCATGTATTTCCCTTTAAGCCTTCAGATCGGCGTCGTACAATAGCCAGTGGTAACATGGAGTCGCCGACAAGCCACCTTCGAAGTGCGAAACATTAGCGACCCAGGAGTGGAAGGCCGAATTCCGCCGCTCAGCATCGATTACAATTTGGATTCAGCACACACTGACTCCGTTCGAGTGCTGTGCTAACACCTAAACCAACTGAATAACTTTCTGTTTCCGCCCATAATTTCCCGATGTAGTATGTAGTGATTAACCCTGTGAACGCCTTGATTGGAGTTCAGGCACCTAAAAAGTTGGTTTCACATAACATCTTAGACGAAAACCTCATGCCGGTGGTAAGTTGGCACTGAGTTAGTAAGTGTATGGTACACCTCCCTGAACCAAAATACAACTAGGGCCAAAATAAACAGATTAACTTGAATTAACTAAGCTAACTTTTAGTTTGCCGCTGGATGCTTGGGATGTTTTAAGCTGTGTTTTAACGGGGATGCATCCGGGTAGGCGTCGACTTCATACGGCACTTCCTTTGTTCAGGTGAACATGCACATCCTCAGGGCCCCTAACTCAGCCATATTGGCCGGGTAAGTTGAACGAACTTTCTCCCTGAAAATACCTTCACATTTATTCTATTTTAACGCATTTTTCTTTCGAGCTTGTCTCAACATAACAGCCTCTTTTATTCATTTTGGTATCAATACCTGCACGCCGGGCAAGGTGCTGACTGAGGAGGTACTAGAGGGCATCGGGTTTGGTAAAGCTGGTTAACTGTTACCTACTAACAGCACATCCAGTCCCCTAAAATTGGTGAGCGCGAACATCATTCTCTTACCGTGTCCGTCGGCGATTCTATTTCTATTTTTGGTACGAACATTTTGTATTCATTTTGTGTTTACCTGTGAGTTGCTTTGGATTGTTGTCGTCTTTCTTTATCAGCGTCGCGCC